ATAATAATATTATTTGATACCTGTGTTCGGTAGTGTATTTGGTCGAAGTCTTTTCGTATTAGATGACAAATCAAAAGCATCTTTGCTAAAATGTGCGGAGCAAATTCTAGCTCCAGGTGGAACTGACTCCATATTTAGCTTTAAGATGTCCAACCATAACATTTTTAATTTTTCATTCTTTGGAAATCTATTGAAAAAGTTATATTACATGTGTAATTTATATTATTTCTCTCATTTTGATATAATCTTAATACATGTAAATAGAACATAATTTTTTACCTGTGATATGATATATTATTATTTTTCTTATTTTCTCCTAAAATCGGACGACTTGCCGTCCGATTTTTGCAATTTGTTACAATACACAGTGGCATTGTGGTTTGTGATTCCTATGTTGCACTGTGATTTTAGGTTATTTTTATTAGGTCAAAATAAAATATTACGCTTGCGCAAACTTTACCCAATCGTCAATGCGGCACCAAAGTACCATGTGACCGTAGTCCTCGCTCCCCGAAAGCGACTTCACCCCCCGCGGCTTACACTCCATCTCCTTATTCCTATGTCTATGCACGAAACGGAACGCACCCTTCTATATATCGGCCAGACCCCGTAGTCTGTGGTCTGGATTCCTATTCTAGTGACTCTAAACGCAGGAAATGTACAGCGCTGTAGCGTCTACTACCCATATTATTCACGTACTATTTTATTTCCGCTGTATATCCAGGCTGTGTTCCGAAATTTACTGCCGGCACTGAAAATCTATAGTTTACGTTACGTGTATTGTAGATTTTCAGTACAGGCAGTGAATTTCGGAACGCAGCCCTAGTACGCTTCCATACGTTACGCTCGTTACGCACATGGATAAATTTGATAAACGTGGTACGGAGAGATTAGGATCTTAAAGTGATTAAAATATAAAAAATGGTAAGTATATATGATAATTTCTAAATCATATAACAGTTAGACAAATTATTCATTATAATATCTAAATTTTTCTACTTAATATGATTAAAACAATGTATCATACACTACGTGAGCGTGGCATTTTTATCCTATAAAATCTAGAATTTTTACTCTATAAAATCATGCTTCAATGTTATAATTGCTATAAACTTGTGATATTGTGTAATTCTTATATTGTAGCTATTGATAAATAAATAAATAAATAGTTATCATGTACTTTATAGGTGACTGTTATCAGTTGTGATGTTAACCTCTCATCAAAATGAATGGATTCATGATACATGATAATTTATTTATTTATTTATTTATCAAGTTGCAATATAAGAGTCACACAATATTATAAGATATAATACATGCAAACATAAACATAATAGAACACATTTAAGTAAAATAAAATATAAATATAAACATAGATAATCATGTAATATGAGAAAGAAAAGAGATAATAACAATGCTAAAAAAATAAAAATAAAATAATAATAGAATAGGATTATTGTATCAGTATTAAATTATAGCAATTATAACATTGAAGCATAATTTTATAGAGTAGAAATTCTAGAGAATTAAATTTACATGTAAAACAAGTACAAAAAAATCAATATCACAAAGTATTCATAGAAAACTATATGAAACAATATAAGTAATACTATTTGCTTGCTTTACAGTCGAAACTCTTTATTCTGTATGAGCATGCCGTTGGATATGCTGTATTCCAAGTTAAACAGTTTGAAGAGATTGGAATGATGTTGCCTCAGGTGGAGGCGTCGGTAACGGAACTGTCACGTTTCCGTTCGATCGTAAATCTGGTTGGATTTTCACCCTTCAAAACAGCATTATCTGCCCTGGAAAATATCAACAGTATTTCTGAAGGAATCGTCACAGAAGATCTGAAGATTTTCTTAGATGGTTGCATACCAGAATCCACTAAACAGCATCCTGTTACTCTGGGTGTTGCGGATCCCAAACTCGGTTCCCATATCACTGAAACCTTGGGAATAAAATGCGAACTTGGCAATGCCGTTTTTGAAATTCTTCGAGGAATAAGACTTCACTTTCCTAATTTAGTGAAAGGCTTGACTCCTCAGAATGCAGCAGTTGCACAGTTAGGTCTTGGACATAGTTATTCAAGAGCCAAGGTTAAATTCAACGTGAATCGAGTGGATAACATGATTATCCAGAGCATATCCTTATTGGACCAATTGGACAAGGACATCAACACGTTCAGCATGCGTATAAGGTATGCGTAGTATACTTTTTGATTACATTGCAAATAAATAGACTTGAAAATAACTTTAGTTTTTGTTCTGATTGCAGAGAATGGTACGGATATCACTTTCCAGAACTCGCGAAGATAGTTCCCGAAAATTATACATACGCAAAAGTGGCACGAGTGATAAAAAATAGAAAAGAATTGATAGATGACAAAATCACAACATTGGAAGAAATAGTTATGGATAGTGCTAGAGCTCAAGCCATCATTGACGCAGCTAAGTCTTCTATGGGAATGGACATAAGTCCGGTTGATTTAATGAACGTTGAAATCTTCGCTGAACGCGTTGTCGGATTAGTGGAGTACAGAAAGAAGATGGCCAAATATTTAACGTCGAAAATGGCGGGAATAGCACCAAACTTGGCTACTTTAATTGGAGATCAAGTTGGCGCCAGATTGATAGCGCACGCTGGATCATTAACTAATTTGGCAAAGGCTCCGGCATCTACTGTTCAGATATTGGGAGCGGAAAAAGCTTTGTTCAGAGCATTAAAAAGCCGTGGAAAATCAAATACTCCGAAATATGGACTTCTATTTCACTCTACATTTATTGGCCGTGCTGGTACAAAAAATAAAGGTAGAATTGCAAGATATCTGGCCAATAAATGCTCCATTGCTTCCAGAATCGATTGTTTTGCCGAAACACCTGTGAAAATATTCGGTGAAAAATTACGGCAACAAGTAGAAGATAGATTGACCTTTTATACAACTGGCAAAGAACCCAAAAAAAATGTAGACGTAATGAGAGAGGCCGTAGAGGAAACAGCAAAAATGTTACAAAATATGCAACAGGAAAAAGAAGCAAAGAAGAAAAAGAGAAAGAAAGAGGTGATCGAAAACGGCACTGAAAATGGCGCTGAAAATGGCGCTGAAAATGATCATCATGAAAAGAAGAAAAAGAAGAAGAAGAAATCGAAAGAGGACGCTTAAATATTATTTAGATTATATCATCATTTATATTATATCATGTCCGTCAATATATCGAAAAAGTAGCAAATCGTGAGAACACAAAATTTCTTTTACCAATATAATATTGTTTTCTATAATACATACATAAAATTATTGACAATTACAAACATTTTTTAAATGATTGACAATTTATCATCTAGCATTTATGTATGTATTATAAAAAAACGATATTAAATAAAAGAAATTTTATGTTCTCACGATTTGCTACTTTTTCAATATTGATGGACATCATACAGGAGAAGAGAGGTAATTGTAATAAAATAAAAAATAAATAAAAATATGCAGCGTTAATAAAAGTATTCAGTATTCAGTTAACACCAGCACCAATTAGCATTTAATAATGATAAGTTTGTAAAGTAAGTATAAATATTTAAACAATAATTACAATAAAATTACTGAATCTAGCGAAATCTCAGAGTGTCAAAAATCGACGATTCAGCTGTTTTAAATATAAGCAATGTATTACTGCTATGATTCATATTGGAGGACTAATCGTTTGTTGAATATAAATTTCACGCGAAATTGAATGTAACATTATATCGGACTTACGCGCGATTAATATTGTGATATGTATAGTGCAATATGTATTTCCAGATATTTATTACATTTAAGTTATTTGTAATGATAATATAAATATCTGATGTTTAATTTCCAAATTTTCTTTATAACACTTAAAAATAATTCAACTTGCAAGAGTCAACACTTAAAGATCAAATATATAAGATGAAAAACTTAAAAATTTACAACAGTACATCCGTTCTAATATCATAAACAATATTATCGCGCGTAAATAATACAGAAATGCAATACAATCTCAAATTTAATTTCTTTTTTTTAACAAGAAACAATTTGTCTCGAGCAAGATATTGCAAAATTCGCAAACTACAAGGAAACTAATAGGTGCGTTTTTGCAATTTGTGTTTACTTCGAGTTTTACAAAGGGTTTTATAACACTAAACTGTACATACACCCCCGTAATAACACTTTGTTACATTAATAATCGGCTGATGATTCTTTATGCGTTGAATTGACTAAAATGATTTTTCTCTCTTTATATTTGTACAATACATTTTCATATTTGAAAAATATATCCTTGCCTATGTGTTCATCATCTTGCCTCATATAAAATGCTCAAATAATGGAAAATGTAAAGGATCGTTCGCCTTTACATAATTCAGTCTCTGGTACTCGCATGAAAGCTCTTCTCTTCAGAGCAAAAACAAGAGCTAAAACAATTAGATAACTATTCGACATGATACTTTTTTCTTTTCTGCGGAATTACAGAATGGCTTCTATTAATATCAATTGCTTCTGAAATTTTTAATCTCGTTATATTAATGCTACGTGTGTTGCAACTGCAATAACAATAGATCCGTAATAAAAACCATTCTTACAACACACACATGTGTATATGTTTAACTTTGCCACTGAATTTGAAATAATTTCAATAATAACGTAACTTTCTGTTGGCATATTGCGGAAAGTTACAAATAAATAATTTTCTGCATATTGTTGTTACAAAGCAACAAGATAAACATACAAATATTTCTTTTTTTTAAATATGTATGTAGAGTAAATAAAAATTTAGACGACGTAAATTTTTTGTCATAACTCAAAAATAACAATTTTCTCAATATAAATAATGGAAAATATTTCTCAGTAAGTAATGTAAAAAATTTCTCAGTAAATAATGTAAAATATTTCAATATCATGCAGCAAAGATAAACTAAATTAAAAGTAATAACGATTGTAAACGGACGATCGTGATTATATATGTTAATTAACATAATAACGTGATATTAATTAGCTGCTTAGAATTAATTACGAAGTGGTAATAATTCCATAAACATTTATGTCGAAGGATATGCATTATTTCATTGTTAGTAAGATATAATCAAATGCTAATGTGTGATCTTCCATCGCTCACGATTTATGATAACTATGTAATATCATATAATAGCAAAGATTAATTTCTCCTTTAAACTTCTATGCTAATTACGCAATTAATCCATCCTTAAACAATTTACATTTGAATTGTAATCACGTAATTGATGTTTGAATCGGGCACGAAAGTCTCCTCTCGCCGATTTTGTGCATAGATTCAATTCAAATTTTACGAGAAATGCTAAAAATATCGTTCTATCTACGCCCTTTTCTACGAAAGGGCATCAATAATCGTAGTTTTTCCAGCCATAGTAATCGTAAGAGAGAAGGGAAGCACTTATTAATAATATCTACTAATGATTCATTCTCTCCTTGCAAAAACGCCTATGCTGCCGTTTCTCATTTTACACACATACGTCTTTAACGACTATCGCAGCTGCATCATCCGTAGTCTATTGTTATAAAAGCATCGATCCTTTCATCCGTCGCGTTCATGTACGCGTGATGTTAAGTGAATACAATTAATTAGATTATGCCTTTTCGAATTTTTCACAATATATGTATATACTTTTATGATACATCGTCTATAAAATAAGGCATAATCCCGATTCCTCCGAGCCTAATATACATTATTTATAAAATACACACAGTGTGATAATTCCTGCCAATATTGTTCCCGCGTAATATTCGCATGTAGTACAACGCATATTACTGAAATTACACATAATTCTGAGTTTCAGAGGAATGCTGCTTATCGTCGACTTTGTCTTTTAACGTGTAATTATTGGCTTAAATTATACACCAGGCTGCCTTGCACAGAAAAATGATTCATTTCTTTATATATTATTCATTATTATTGTATATTATTTGCATTTGTGTCTCTTTTTTTTATCGTATATTATTTTTTATACAAGTCCTAATTTTCAAGAACCTGTATTGTGGCATCGAGTTACTCCTTAGACAAATAAGGGTTAAAAAATACTGACGAATGCTTCAATCTATCCTGCACTGTATTAATCTTTGAACACTCGCCTCCTCCGTCCGCTTCTTAAATCACGTAGCGCCTAGGGCTGAACGATAATAAAAAATATCTCAATATATGTTATAATCGTTGAACCCTGTATAAATTGGAGAGTTTTGGCCCAGGCGGAAAAAGTGAGATTTATTATCTTCGAATCAATAAAATAGCCCGTAACGAATTTCGCGCAAAGCCTTAATCCTTGTATATTGTGCATTGAGATTTTGTCCTACCCTAAATTACTCGATAGTCCTTTATGGGAATGCGGGAAAGAACGTTGCGTTGGGCTGCTGCTGTTGATTTTGCGGTGGAGGCTGCACCATCGGTGACATGTAACCCATTCCTGGTGCTATGGATATATATATATAGATTTCACCCTCATTTCACCCTTATTTGCAGGCTTTCACATAAAAGCTTGATGTTTAGACTACAATAACTAATTTATCATGCGCAGTTAATGAAACACAAGAAAACAAGATAAGATTTTATCCAGCCGAAGTTTATTACAGCAATGTAAGATTGATAAGAGAATAGCGGAGTCTTAATAAAAAAGTGATAAACCTTTGGTATCAATATAACAGACTATTAAGGGATTACTTACGTGTCATCTTGATCTGATGTTGTGGGCTATTACTCGCTAACTGATTCATCGTCGGCGCTGGGCCTGAGTGTTTCGATTTACCACCCATTATGTTATCGAGGTCGATATTTAATCCCGAACCAGCCCAGGTCGAACCGACTTGCGTGGATGTATTATTGGACGTTTGATTCTTAGTATTCGTGGATGTAGGTGGAAGAAGATTTGTAACGGGCGACAATCCGATCGTTCCTAAATATGACATTGATTTTAGTTCGCAATATTGCAACCGCTGTGCATGCCATATTGCTATTAAAATTCGGTGCAAATTTATATACATAATAAAAATATCACGTCAAAATGTAATTATGAAAACGGAGTCACTTTATTCGAGCTGCAAATTTATTGAAATTAACATTGATTAGCATTGATATTAAATATTAGCTTTATTAAGTAAAATATGTATTATGATGTAATTATTGTATTAATTGGATTATACATAAGTTTGTTTTATATTACACAGATTCATACAAATACATGTTGAACATTTTAGCCAGTGAAATCAAAAGCTTTCATTAACGACATACGTGTGCACTCTCGTTTAGAGTATCATCGATTACAACGCAATATTTGCATAATTTTTGTAAGCAAGAAAATTAATTCTAAAACAAAACGTCCTACGTAAATGTATTCATACATAATGTACATACGAACATAATACTGCAGAAAATTTTTCTTATAAGTAATATGAGATAACAAGTTCATTGTTATACATGCCTGACTAATTTATACTTTAGTTAACGTCGAGCCGATAATTGTATCGATAAAGGACAGCACTTTTGCATTCAGAGCTCTACAATTTGCATCGTGTTCGCCGTAAATGACATTTTGCGACAACAGAAGCCACTCTCTTATTTCCAGCAGTAGCTCAGACAGTTCGTCGACGACAGCGTCTTTCGGCACCGCGACGAGCACGGATCCGATATTTTCCGTAACAGCTAATCTCACTGTCGCTTCATCGTGAATCCGCAACGTCCACGTGAGCTCCAATATCTCCTTGCCCATCTTCAATGCCAATGGACAGTTCTGCGCCGCCAACATTATGGCAGATAACGTTTTCAAGAAACGTAGCAGTAGGATATTTTCTTGATCCGCATAAACCTTTAAATCTTTCAGCTTATCGTGACGGCCGAAGCCGTACAAAAGCGGATAGAAAAATGACGATACGACATTGCCGAAGTGATTGACATATATCTTGGGAGACTTGGAATTATGCGCGAATCGTCTCGTGCGCGACTCGATTCTTTTGTCGACGACTTCTCGCCAGTTTGCAGATCCACTCTCCGTCATTTCCAGATCGACGTCCTCATCGTACCACACTTGTTGCTTTTTACGTTCCTCCGCGTCGATGAAAAGCGATATACGGCTCGGAATTCGTTTCTCCTTAATCGCTGCATCGATGGCGTCGTCGGCGCTGTCCGCGCTGCCGACGTCGATTTTTGACAGCTGTTTCGCAGATTCGGCCAGTATATTCAGAAACAGCAAGCGCTGGTTCAGCGAGTACTTCCCGACGTCCTCGTAAAACTCTTTACACAGGAATTCGGCGCATTCCTTCGGACGCACAGTCACAATCGCCACGCAACATTTGAAAATCACGAGTTCAAAGTCCTCGACGTAAGACTGTTGCCTCAGCGTGGCGAGAAGTGACAGGAGTTCTATTGCGAAGGATGCATCGTCGTTCGGCAGCTGCGTTAGTATTAATTCTTCGCATGCCAGCAGGGATTCAGAGAAAATGTCGGGATTGGAAATGGTCTTGTCATCCGTTAAATTGTTGAGCACATCACGCAAATATGTCGGGCGCACCTTGCTAAATGGTTTGTTGTCACTCATATCGTAAGGAACTAAATCATCGTCGCTGTCCACGTCATCCGAATCATCGCTATTTTGTTCCACCTGTTGCTTCGACTCGTTTTTCGTCACTAGATGATCCTTTATCGCGCCATTTGTCGCCAACTGCGTGTTATTTTCAACTTTTCCATTCGACGGACTCTCGAATCTGGATAAAATACCGCAGTCGATGCCTAATTCATAGATTTTCCTGCTACTCAGAGAATCGAAAATAATACTTTCAGTAATCAAATCGCCGCTTCGCTCGTATTGTTCTTGCAGATCTACGGTCGATGCGAACGCATTTAAATTCTTCAGAGACTCGAGTAATTCTGACACTTTTACAGGCATCTTGTCATATTCGAACTTCAATTTCGATTCATCATCTATGTTAGACAATAAGTTTATACAAATCTCGCCGGTCAACATGCCCATCGCTCTTATATTTGTATCTGTGCACTCAAGATGAACAGATACTCCAGACAGCAATAGCTTTTCGCACTGCTTTCTTTCGTCATCCTTTAGACGATCTTTACACACTTTTACAGATAAAATAATTAACTGCGTAATATACTTCTGCTGCTCCATAGATGTGTGATTCAAAATACTCCCGTCGCTCCAAACCTCTAAGAGTTTAATTAACAATTCCGATAAGATACAATTTTCGTTCAAAAAAGACGCCAAGTAGAAAATTAAGTTTACAACTAGCTTCTCGTCCTCGTAATAACGCATTAGAGGAATTTTGGTCGTTAAAATGTACTTCCAATTTGATTCCGTCAATAAATTTCCGAAAACGGGACGCGTGCCGAGCTTAGGATCGCAATGCTTCAAAAATAATATGGCTACGTATTCAATGGCGGCTGAATCTAATTCGCGAAATATACTTTCGACGAAGCGCCGCTCATTTTTCTTATTTTCAAAACACCACTCCTCGAAGATGTCGACGAAGCACGTAAAATTACTTGGCTTTAGACTAATTATAATCTTGCTGATTAAAGATGAAAGTCCGACTATTCTTGGCTTAATGTCGTATTTGCATAATCCATCGTTGACGAACGATATCGCGCAAGATATATGGAAACAGAGCATCTTCATGTAAATTTGTGGCGTGTAGAATTTCGACGTGTCAAACTGTAGTTTATTAGACACGCGATTGGGCAGGGAGATCAATATTTGTATTGTACTTCGCCAAGTTTGATCTAGTTCCTCCTGCTGCATGCAGGATTGCGTTTCGTGTCTGCATACATCCACTACTGCCGAAAATATTGCATCGCTCTTCAACAGATCTTCCAATATTACTGAGATAACGCGAATTTTGCTCTGATTTTTCGATTCGTTTAAAGCGGTGGTCAGAGCCCGCAAAGACTCCGATAACATGAAGACTGTTGCACCGTCGACAATTATCAACTTCTTGATCGTGGAATCCAAGCCATCATTGCTTAACGGCCAATCGTGATCAAACTTGTCGATAATTTCCTCCAAAATTCTTCCGTACAATATGGCATCCACTTTCGTATCGGAATCAAGACCGTTATATTTTTGAGGAGTGAGAGGCCCTGGTAAAAATCTGATGTAGTTCGAAACGGATGATCTTATTCTTTCCAGATCGGTGCGACTTTTAATACGGCACATGGTGCATAACACTTCCAACAATTGATTGGCGGCATTATTCGAAAGATTCTCGGCCGTCGCAACGTTCTCTTCGTTTTTATGAGCTGCAAGGAAAGGCTCTCTTGTGGGAATTACATTAGCTTCAAACTCCGATGTGCATCATACGTGAATGCTTATTTACGGAAACACATGCAACTTCAAATTTATATATCTTTATCAAACAGTTAATTAATAATGCCGGAATGGCTCAGAAATTTTAACATTGCATCTTTTACGCGTCTTAGGATTTGTATAAATATATTAAATTGTACAAATATCGTATATGTGCTATATATTGACTTATGACTACAAAAAGATGCCATTAAAATTCAAGCATATTTAACTGCACTCACCTGTGTAATTAACGGCGTTGGAAGGTGTGTTATTCATACCCATAAAAATGTTTGAATTGTTAGAACCGCTTACTCGCCCGTCAGGTAACCTCATAGCGGGGGCATTTAAACTATCCAAGTCCGACAAGAGATCTGTATTTGAAGTCACTGAAAGAAATAATATAAATAATATAGCGTGAAAAATAATGAAAGCATCTCGAAGATTAAAAAAATAAATATTGATTGATAATTGCGAGCTGAACGCCAGATGATTTACTTTCGACTGTCTTATTAAATTTTACCTATGCGATTATTCATGCAATTAATGTGCAATCTCACCTGTATTGTTATTCGTTATTTGATTATTAAGATCCTGCGGTGATAAATCAAATAGATCGTTAGACGTTTTCGGATTTTCGATAACGGCGCTTCCGGTGAACGCTGTCGTGCCTGTTTGCATTGTATTGGCGTACATTGCATTACTGACGTTCACATTATTTGGATTATTTACAATTGGTATTGTTACACCCATCAAATTGATTTGCGATTGTGGCGATTGTGGCAATTGAGGCTGGCTTGGAGGATTAGATATCGTTACATTATTAAAGGCAGATGTAAAGTCGGCAAATTCGTCGTTGCTTTCCTTTGTCTTGACCGTCGCGGAATTATTAAACGCGCTAGCAAAATCGCCGAATTCTAAATTCGCATTTTGCGGCTGAACGAAAGATTGAGTGCTCGCTCGTGGATTGAAATCATCGTCGTCCAATCTGTTATTATCACTCTGTGATTCAAAAATATCGTTTAATATGTCATTTTTCGTCTTCTGCTGATTTGTCGGCGATGATAAATTATTACTTTGTTGTACTGGTGCACTATTCTGTAAGTAAAACAAAATTGAATGTGAATTATCGTGATTCGCAGCGACCCTCGCTTTCTAAACTTACATTAGATTGCTCCTTTCCATAATTCGCCGCTGCTCCGAGATCTACTTTCTTAATATTTCTCGCTGTCCGTGCGGGGGATGCGTTTGCAGAAGGTGCAGATATTTGAGCAGATTTACCGATTTGGTTTGTATTGTCCAACGTGTCTCTGTATTCTCTTCCACTTTTCTTTGGGCTAGTATCATTGTCCGAGTCTTCTCTTTCGCCATCGTCGCTGTATAATATAAAAAGTTGTAAGAAAAAAATTCGAAAGGTGCAATTCGTTAGATACACACCTGTTGTTCGCATCCTCGAATCCTTTTCCACGATTGTTTCCATGATTGTCCCAGTCATTATACGTCTCTGCGCCGGATTTGTTCCACTTGGGATTGTCCATCCATCTATCGCCACCCCCAAATCTCATTCCCATCGCTTCGCTCGATAAACCAACGTATTTGTCTTTATTTTTCTTGGCCTTTTTCCTTTCCTCCCTAAGTTTATCATCGTCTTGAATAAAGTCAATTAATTCCCTAACTTTATGTCTAATATTTATTCCTTGATCCTTCCCAAATTCGTCGATGCACGTGTAATTTTCTAAAGATCTGAGATCATAAATATGTTCGCGTGACGACGTGACGACTCGTTCCGAGCCATTGCGGACTAAGTAATTAAGAAGAAGTAACGACTGTAAAAAAAAGAAGACGGAAATTAATTAGATAAATTAGTGAAATACCGATGAAACACGCTTTCACTCGTTTACGCATTTTATTTACTAATTTATAATATGAAAATCTTATCTTATTTAATTTTCTAAACTCGTATTCTTATTTTGTACGCTTTCTCAGAAATGTTCACTGGAGAACCGTGTTCGTACCTTGTACGTTCGTCGCCAGTTTCGTTTATTTTCTTGCAACATTCTTTTCCAGAGCATGGACATTACTTCTGGAAACTGTTCGTATGTGAATGTAGCCTGAGCAAGTTCTTGCATCATTGCGCCTTAAAAAGTAATGGATTCGATTTAATTAATTTGTACGTGTATCTCAATTCATGGTAAAGTTATCGCTCGAACAAGCGTTATCGCTAATCGTACCTGTGGGACCCCATGCGTCGTCATTAGTTGCCTCCCTAACTTTGGCCTCTGTTTCCGTGTAATTCATGACGACATTAGTCCTACAAATGCAATTTTTCATCGTAACACATTGCGTACAATTTGCAACGTACAAAGCTATAAATTATTGATAATTGAGTACTTAATACACGTGTGATAATATCACATTGCTCGCAATGGTGATTATTTCTGCAAAAAAAGCCGATAAAATCCGATAATACTCATCGTTGAGTTGGATCACGCAACGCTAGAGATTTATGATAGTCTTCCTATTAACGTCACTTTATTTATAAATAATAATTAAGTACAGGTATAGCGCAATGGTTTCTCTTCCTCTTCCTGTCTTTCTCTCTCCCTCTCTCTCTCTCTCTCTATTTATTGCGTTAGTTTGGTCTACAAACAACGTACGTGCATCCGTGCGACGACAAAAGTGCACACAGCCGTGAATTACGTAAATGATTACAGTTTAAAGCTATTACAGCTTGCGATGTATCTCACGCGGTTTATTACGTCGAACCGGTAATACTGAAATGTGTTTGCGAAGGTAACTAAACATTAATTTATTAGAGATTATTAGTTTGCTAGTTTGAGTTAATTATACAATGGTCTTTAATCAATGCTGTTTCAAACAAAAAGATTAGTTACTTAATTAATTTATATTTATATTACATTAAAAATATTATTAGTAGTATAGATATAAAAAATATTTCAGGTAAATTCATTTAACAGTTTTTTTTAAACAATTTCTTTTTAAACAAACAAATATACATAACACTCGGACTTTGTTATTAATATATATCGTTTAATGGAATATAAAGAGATAAAATTTCCCTAACGATATTTTAAATTATAAATGTATTTTAATAAATTATTTTTTGTATCAAAAGCCGTGTCGTAATATTATTTTTATTCAAATATATCATTCGAATATCAAATTAAAATTTTTTTTAAATGAAACAAATTTCAACAAACGACATTATTTTAAACACGCGCAAAAGCTAATACAATACGAGAAATAGTACGCGAGTCGAATACTTTCGTAACTCTAAACGGGTATTCGTGCGCAAGCAATACGAATTGGAATCTTATATCGCATGAATGAATACCTTCTTCTATTGTATCCTGTTTACAACACGCATTAAAATAATGTAACTGGATAATTATGAGATGTCTTATGTCTTTCGATACTCGAACCAAAATATCGGCAATAAATAAAAATCCAGATTATAAATCAATAAAAAAAATTGAGCTGAAATAAATAATAAATTTAAAAAGTATTAAGAATAAATTGAGATTTCAAGAATTGATTTTTCGACTGGAAACTAAAATTTCAAGGTGCGAATTTTCAAGAATATGTTCTACAATATTTCCTGCATTTTTTTACTTATATATAATGAAGCATAAAATTCCAAATTTCGCATTCCAATTAAACGTTAAAAAATTACTGGCAAGGAACGCGGAGATGTTTTCAAAAGCGCGGAAAAGAATTCAAGTTGGAAAAACGTCGAAAACGTCGAAAACACTGATAAAGTATGTAAAATACACGCGCACCTGAAAACGCGTGTAATACACAATTGTTTTCGACATGGTTTTATCACCTCGAATTATGTACTATCGAATCCCAAGGTCGCGCCATAAAATTATCCGCACCGTTCCAGTTTTACGAGTCTCTCTCCCTCACCCCGTTCCTCGTCCTCCGCCGCTCGTGAACGAGACGTGTCGAAAGCGATTACATATTCTCGTACGAGCAGAAGCGACGTAATCCGCCGGATTTTCCAACGTCTCTCGCGTTCCTTGCCACAATAAGAGTCAAGAGGTATTGCGTGTGCGTGATATTTCTGATCATACTCGGGCAAAGCGATATATATGTATTGTATGATTTTCGATCATTTATCACAATCACACGCCAGTAAGAAACGAGATGCACTCGCGGGAGGCAATGCAGCGGAATGCGCTCCAAAAAAAAGCGAAAGCAAGGTTATATCTCGCTTCGGGATTGAACTTACGCCTTGTCCATCAGCTCCCGCACTTTCCACATGTTCATCATCGCGTTCATTCACAGCACAGGCCTACAAGGACAGTTTTTATCTATCCGCACGATACCCTTTCGACGAAACGCTATTGACAGCACGTCGCCAGATAGTCGCCAGATGTTTTTCCGAGCATCTGATATCACCACGGCGAACAGAACGTCACCAGGCGGTAGCCATGTTATCCCTTCCACGTTTACACACACCTCGCAGCGGTCACAGGTGTCTTCCGTTGTCATGCCCGTGCATGGCGTAAAGTTTTGTATGGCATAGACCATGTATTGATGCAGAAAAAAACTCAAAAGCGACAAACTAGAGGGAGCCGTCCAGTAAAGCCCGTATCAAACTACGCATTGAACTACTGACTTTAGACAAATGTTGCACGCTTAGCGTCTGGCCAATCAGAACAATGAGAGTACTTTTGTCCTATTCGATCAAAGTACTTGTAATTCCCTATACGAATCTTTTCGAAACAAACGATTCACATCTGGATATTCGTAGATAATGCATTTGTATTTTTTTACGCGTGTGGTATCACTGCCGAAATCGGACATTCAACATGTAAGAGCGCGTTTAAATTGTTGTACGAGTCGCTAATCACAACGATGGCAGATTTTAACGATGGAGTGGACGGAAAGTTGGCTTTCAGAATGCGAAAAGTCAACCCCGAACAGTTTCACACGCTTGTGAAAATGCACCTGTCCTTCGAATTGGATCTTAATACGGAAGAGTAAGCGATATCCGGCCTCTTATCACCTGCATTAACGTTTCTTGATATCGTGCTTCGAATAGTAAACTCTAGTTTTGTGTTTCATTGACTTTCTCTTTCGGTTTTGTTGACAACGCTCGACCGCTGACTTATTAGCTGTAAATGATGATAAGAGCGAACTATTGTTATAATATTGTTATAAAAGCATTAATAGTAAAATGTCATGTAATACATATTTTGATTGACTTTTTCAGCAGCGATGGTATTACTGAGAAAGCAAGACTGAAAAAATGGGGTCTTTTAAGCTTCGCCAAGAAGTCTAAGTCGTCAGTAAGTTTAGAAAAGGGCACAGAAGGTGTTATGTTATCTGAAGATGGCATAAATCAAGTGACACAATTGATAGATTATTTGTCCCAAGAACAAAGTAAGTAAGGATATCGAATGATGTGAATGTAACGGAGTTAAATGTATTTCTCTTTTCTCAATACAGACATCGTACAAGAGGGAATATTTCGACGTACTGGAAAGTTAACGAGGCAACAGGATTTAAAGACAGCTATGTCTCAAGGTGTATCTTTAGATCTTGACGATGGTCGGTTTAGTGTGCACGACTGTGCCTCAGTGTTGAAAGGATTCCTGTCAGAATTATCAGAACCACTTCTGACAGATTTACATTATCCAGCACATTGCCAGATAGCTGGTAATAAAAAAAAGCATACATATGTATATATAACATGTTTGCTATGACCATAAATTAAATTATTTACATAAGTAAATTATTCATAGAATTATGCAGCTTGGATGGGAAGACAAATGATGCCAGATTGTTGAGTTCATTACAACTACTTCTTCTGCTTTTGCCACCTCCTAATAGAATTTTGCTCAAAGCTATTCTCACTTTGTTAAATAAGACTGCAAGTTATGAGCATAGCAACAAAATGAATAGCGACACACTGGCCACTCTCTTCACGCCGCATTTATTGTGTCCACGAAGATTGTCACCTGAAGCCTTGCATATTAATTCGCAGAATCTGTCGTGTCTAGTTGCATTTATGATTAGAAAAGGAACAGAGTTTTTTGAGATCCCACCGAAATTGGCTACAGATATAAGAGCGTACTGGGTGGAACAAGAAAGAAAATTGTTGAGCCCGAAGAAGACTGACGTAAGTTTAAAATTTACAGCAATATTCTATCTTACTTTTTGCACACTAAGAAAGATTTACAATTACAGTTGAACGAGTCGATACCAGACGCAACTAGTACAGCTCACACTGTATTCAGTTTTGTCGATCGCAATTTAACGGCGAAAGCGAATTCTACGCAAGATACTCAAGCAGCTTTGGCTCAGCTATATGCTCACATACAAGCTATGCCGGAATCAGCCAAGAAGCGGCGGCTCGTGAAACAGTTTAACAAAGAAAACGGACAAGGTACACCTAGGCACGTGAAGAATTGTAAAACCAAGAGTCTTGGAGATTCTATCAAGAAACACATCTTTCAAAAGAAAATCTTGGGCCACAAAAAGTTTGTTGACAACGCTGGATGCAATATTACTAGATCGAGCAGCGAAGAAAATATATTGGCAACGGTGAGATTCTTTATATTTTTTCATTGTATGTTTATTATGTGTCTTTAACAATAGCACGTTTACTCTTATCTAATATCTTTTTTCGCATGTACTATACAGAAATTGGAAGATTCGTTGCTTCCAGCAAGAACACTTCTTAGCAAATCAAACGATGAACTTAGTACGGATACCTGTAATACAATCGATAATGATCTTTTACAAGCCAAACACATGAGTAGTGATAGCCTTAATAATGAAACTTTGACAAGTTATAAAGTAAAAAGCAAGCTGTGTGATCAATCTCCAGATATGAGAGACGAGCTAGATGGAAAAAGTGTGCATGATGCAAAACAGAGTTTAGGTTCGATGGAACTCGGTATGGCTACAAGTTTACAAGAAACGAACGCAATGACCAGCGACAATGGTGAATCTAATGCTGGCAAATTGACGCGTCAACTAAGTGAGCCACCCGACATGTATTCCACTCACAATGTAATTCACTGTGATAACTCGTTAACAAATAATACCGAGTTAGTGCGGCAAAAATCGGAACCAATGCTTTCATTTACCGTAATGACGAATGTACAAACCCCCCCTTTGAAGACTTGTACACCGAGCATGAAATCGTCTGAAACTACTTTGAATGTTGAACCCTGTACCGAAAACGCATGTACACGTAATTTACAATCTCCGATTGTTAGAAGTCGATTCAGAAATGTGTATGCTGTTCACACATCAACACCGTCAAGTTTATTGCGACAAAGCTTGGCCACTAACGATTACATCTTGACTCCTATTACTAACAGCGACAAAAGCATGAGTCCGATTACACAAAGCGCAACAAAAATGACAAAAGCCATGCAGGTATATAAATTTGAAATATTATATATATATATAATAATTAGAAATATAATGCTAGAATTATATGTAACGCAATTAAAACTATATTAATTTGTAACAGGAAACAATGATGACTCCACGCTCCAGGAAGCCAGTAATGATCGTTTCAACTTCGAGTCTTTGCAATCTCGTTACTGGCAACAACGGCTGTAATTCGCATGGATCGAATCTAGACGTGGTGGGTGCAATGAATTACGCTTCCATTTTAGAGGAATCTCAGACGTACAACAGTACAGACAATGCAGAGGCGCTGCCTTGTGCGAAAGATATTGAAAATAAAGAAAACAATGGATTGGATACACTTGGAAAGCACAACTGTGTGCAGTCCGTCGCAAATTGTTGCGCCTGTACGCAACAAAGTTCGATGTCTATAACGAGCACGTTTAGAGAATATTTATTGTCGAGAAGCGTCTTAACAGCCAGTCCTGTTGATCTCAGTTTTACATCGCGGACAGGCGATTTCGAGCAGTCGGAATCCGACTTGAATCTTTTAAACGATGATACACTGTCTGATAGTTTATTGTGTTGTTTGGACGGTAATCAACCAGAATCTGACACTTCTGGCATAGCATCCGGCAGCACGAATAGTGCGAATAATTCCACTGAAAAGATGGAAGAATTTCCTTCTCCGAGAAAACGTGGGACTAGCTTGCAACGAAATGATTCTAAAAGATCCACAAGAGACAGCGTGGCTAAGAGTTCGAAAGGCGAAGAACTCAAATCGCGAAATGAATCGACACTAAACCCTGCAAAAACGCAGGATAGCTTCCAAGAGACGTCATTTTAATTTATCAAGATTCATTAATTATTGTCATTAGTATATCGTTGAGTATAAATAAGTTTTCATACTTTGTTATAAGTATACTTTAAGGAGAAAGAGACTCGTGTCATTAATTTAGGTTTATCAGTATGCTTATATATAGTTTTGTTTCGAGTATGAATCAACTGTGCAACTTGGATTACTGTGTAATTGGATTATTTATTATTTTTATGGAAAATTATAAATCATTATTATATATTGCATTTAATGCAAGATGCTTAAAAAATTTTCTTTTTGTTTTCATGACAATCTTGATAAAAATATCTGCAAAAGCTAAGCAAGACTATTGCTAGATGCAATTCAGTATTTTTCTAATCATATATATTTTTCTAATTCATGTTAAAACTTCCAAATTTTGCATAATATTGTATCCTTCGATAACAAGTGTAATGTAATGATTCTTGTAAAAGAACAAGTTTCTCCATTGCACACAAAGTTTGTTAATATATTTATAAATAAAACTAAATTATATAAAACGATTTATAATATGACATTTTTCTTACAAACCATGATTCCTGACAAAACATTTTAAGAATCACTTAAAATTAATGTATGTGCTATATATGCGAAATAATGTATGTACATTTAATTAAGATATATTATTCTTTTATTTTTACATAAATATAAATAAAATAATTTTGAAATTTTATCTTCAACTTTAGTAATAGGCAAAAGAAAAATAGTCTAAAGAAAGATAATGCACTATTATAAATCTCATATAGTAGTTATATTTTTAATAATTGTAAATTAATTAAAGTCCATACAAAAAACAGAATAGATACACTTGTAGGTCAATACATATCCTCATGACTTAAATCTGGTATGTACGAGAAACCTCTCTCTTTCAAAGCTTTGTTCATTCGCTTCTTCTGTTCTTGCTTCGATTCTTGTTCACGCCTTTGAGCATCCAAAATTTCATCTACTGTCACCTTTTTTAATGGTAAAACCTTTTCCTTTTCTCTGTCCTATAACGGAAGTGTTCATTTAAGCATCGTATAGATATGCATTAGTGAAATTATAATGAATATTCTTTTTATTCATAAAATAAATTACTATTTCTTACTATTTCTCCTAACAGTACAACATTTTCTCCTCTCACTATGAAAATACCTCTCGGGATATCACCATACTCTTCGCCAACATGAATTCTCTCGATGGTACTTTGAAGTACTATATTAGCAAATTGGTCAACACTTTTGAGATATCCAATTAATGTTCTGCCATCTCTCAACAGAACCATAAGTTTTTCTAGACAAGAAGTGAATATAATGTGATTGAAAAACAGGCTAATAATAAATATATTTTTGTACCAAACAACTATCAGCAAAAAAGTTTTATTTTGTACAATAAAAATACAAATTTATCGTGTTTTAGATTTTTTTTGTCTAAAAATCTTTATTAAATTTCAAATGTGTCATTTTATTAGAGTTCACAAGAATTTAACTTTATAATTGTTACTTTATTGATTATTAAATAATTAATTTATAGTATTTTATATAATGTGCAAGGAAAGATAAGAGTGATTAAGTAAAAAGAATATAATTGTAAAAAATATAATAAAATACCAGTGAGATTCATAAATACACAAACACCTACTCTCGAGTTCTTCGAGTAGCGACGCTGTTCCTGGTGGCAATTCATTAGCTTCATTCATTTTGTCAGATTAAATTAAGTCAACAAAAAAACTGAACAATTATTATAAATTTTTTCCAATTTCAATAACTGACGTCCACTTTAGTTCACTCACTGTCTTGGCTAAACAATATACCTTCTACGAATTCTATGATCCAACTAAAGAACTAGAAAGACACAAGTGTCGATAAGATAGATTGCGTTTTTATTCACGGTTGTTATACGAACAAATTTATCAACATTATCATGAAATCATTTGCAGCAAATGTTTCCTTCTTATTTGTAAAGATGGCGATAATGTTGCATTTAGCAAAAGCGCGGCGAAAAGAATATAACCGTTTACTGCTGTTCACTACTGTTCGACTTTACGTGCGTCCCTGCAAGCTTTTAATTCGAATAAATCATGTTGACGAAGAGACAGCCTTTTAACATTCCAGTGATAACGCCACGGGTTCTGGTGAACGAGATTCTCGGTCGCTGTTATTTCTCTTTGTTCAACTTTCATCGATATAGCCCAAGTTTCACGTCCGGCAGTTCCCGAAAAAATCATTTGAAACCGTCATCAATTTGGTGAGTCAATATTGCAAATTTAATTATTATCTAAGATACATTGTAATATATTTTGATATTCATAGCGTTATACATATATTTCTAACGATATTGCGATAATGAGATATTTTTATAATATTTCTGCAATTTTGCTATTCTGTACGAGCATTTATTTAACTCATTTTTAACCTAAAATGTAACTGCGATCGTAGTAATACGCCAAAAAGTCTAACATATGTAGGTTAGAGGCATTTTTCAATCTATTAAAACAATGCAATCAGAGTAGCTTTCGAGCTAAGTAAATCCTCGTACAGAATAGAATTACAAATATTACAAATATCGCATATCGTAAAAATATTAAATGTCATAAACATTGAATATTGAATCACAAACATTGAATAACATTATAAAAATTGCCATCTATTTGCACGATTAAAAAATTGACAGTGTATTATAAATCAACTTAATGTAAAAAAAAGAATTAATAATCCGAAAAAAAAAATAAAAAAAAATAAATATTTAGTAACAAGAATAGAGTAGCGACAGCGATATCCCACGAATCCGACACGTCTCGCGATGCACCTGGGTCCTCTCGGCGTCGAGAAGAGCTTACCAGGACTTTGCTTTATGCGGACACTTTATGCCCCCGATTGCGAGCGACACCGGAACGCTCTCAACTTCCCGGCGCCGATCAGGATCCTATTCCGATCGCAAAACAAGCGAGAGGAGCGCGCGATTTAATTTAGGGCCGTCGAGAAGCCGCGCCAGCGTGTTTCCCTTGTAGTCTACCGAGTTGGCGGCACGTTTTAATAATCGCGCTCTCGGCGACGACGCGCTTCCTCGTAAACCAGATCCATCGTTTCGGCGCACGACAAATCTTATCGAGGCGGACCCGATGCACAGTAATCTCTTACCGTGCGCGCGTTTAAGCTCTAACCACTTCTACATCGGGGATTTTTGCAAATTATTCGCACATTTCTTTCCCCACATTGCGAATTCATTGATCGGAGAACGTTGTTGTTCGCATATGTGTGTGATACAATAATTATAAAGGTATGATCGAATTATAAATAAAGAAATAGATCATTATTGCTTTATATCCGTGTGCAAAGTTACAAGTATAATTTTATAATCGAGTTAGAAATAAATACATAAAACATTTGAATTAAAAGATCAAATATCGTGCATTTGTAATGTATTTAAAATGCCAAACGCATATTGAATTACATATGACAATATGCGCGCGAGCTTTTTATTTTATACTTGCGAATTATAACGGGTATGAGGGATCACGGTAAAAAGTAGAGTATCATAAAAAAATTCGGTGGAACGCTGCGCGTTTGGACACCGCATGGATTTCGGCGTGGTCTGTGCGGCTGCATTTGAAATTCAAATAAAGTGATAAGGTTTACGGCGGCTTAAAGCCGACGGTAACTCCGCAAGAATCACGGGCGCTCTTCGCGCTTCCGAATCGAAAAATGGACTTGTATTAATTCGTGAATTCGATCAAATAAATGCGTTTGTTCAAGCGTCCATTACATTAATCTTTCTCGTTCTTACAACACTTGGAATTGTTCGTTTGAAATATAAAGTCGACGCTCGGCTCTCCATTTGATAACATTAGTATTAGCGGTTTCTCGTGATCTCGCCGTCCAAAAGGTATCAACAGAGCGCGGCTCGATCCCCAACGATAGCTGCACCGTTCCGCACAAAATCGACCGGGGTCACGAGTCGCGACCGAGTCGTGCCAGATAGGAGTCCGAAACGGTTTAATGCTCGGCAAATGGCGGTCTTGGGAAATTGGCACCGCAAACATACAGCGAAACGACGCAAGATTGCAGCGGGCGAGAGGGGAAGGATGGTGGGAGGTCTGCCGGAGCGAGGACGAACCTCTCGGGGGGGAGGGAAATAGAGGCCACGATCGTTTCGTCTTTAAACGCTTCGTAAAAAAGAGCTGGACACGATTTACGCTTGATTACAGCCCCGACGTGGGTCAAAAGTCGAAACGAAATGACTATCGATACCGATGGGAGCGACCGGGAGAGTGGAGAGATTATAGGTAATAATGCGACTAATAATGCGTCCCGATCTTCCCCACCCGGCCCACTCTAAAGAGTGCTCAATCGCCGGTTTCCCCTTTCGCCGCTCCATCCGCGACGCAACTACGATTCCCGTTAATCGTTTCGTTTATGCGACCGCGGAAATCAAGTAAAAGTTTATCGCCCGCGTCACAAATCTAAATTCAAGCGCGATTCACGCCACTTCGGCGTCAATTAGAACGCAGAATCGAGAAGCGGATTGAAATCTCGGCTCCACACAGACGCGCGATAATCCGCGCGCGTTTATTCGGAATAATGTAAACGTAATAATAATTGGCTTGAGAGGCTGCTCATTCCTTTGTAGATATCGCGTGTACATTGAAAATTGAGCTCGCCAAAATTACATCGATTTTAATTTCCGAAATAAACCAGCTTGCGCGTACCGCTCGTTCCGCGGTTTGCTCAATCGATCGACTCGCGGCGTCGCATCGACTTTGATCGGCGATGAGAGAGCACGCGGAGCGGATCGCGGACGCGACAATGTTCTCTCGTCCCTCTCGCGCTTTTCCTTTCTCAATCCCATATTCCAAAATGGCCGTCGACGGCTTGAACGCGCGCGAGTGGAGGCCGCGGAGCAAAAAAGGACAAGCGTAATAACATAGTATCGTTAATGGCCGGGCAATTTCAACGTGTACGAGTGTGCCCTCCCTTTCTCTCCTCCTCTCCCTCCTTCATTTCACCCGCCGCCTCCTCCTTCTCCACCTCTTCTTTCCTCTCTTCTTCCTCTCTCGGCGTCTCTCTGTCGTTTCTTCCTCTCCCTCGTCCTGTTCCTCTTTCCAGCAACATTTCGCTCCTTTCAATCTTTTTTTCTCGTGCCCCCTGCTCGACGTCGCGCCAACCACCCCGTGTCTCTTTCATGTCGCTGGCGCAGCTTTGCGCTATTCCAAATACACGCGAGTCTTGCTTAAAGTGGACCGAGTTCATGGATTTCAATGATTACGGACTCGTTAATCCGTCGCTCCTTTTGCGCAATGGCCGCGATCGATTAGGGACAATGATCCCGTCTTCACTTTTCTTGACGTTACTCGCTAAATTTGAAATCAAATGGTGCAAGGCGTTAGACGTAGAAAAAGCTCGCTGTTCACTACTCTTTTTAAGTGATAAAGAATATATATTTATACAAAATCACTTAGCTGAAGTAAATAAAATATTCGCGCTATTTACTCGTTTGCTCATTTAAAATATAAATTAATCAAGTGTGAAATTTTTCAGATTCAAGAGATTTAAACTTTGTTTTGTTTCCACGAAAAATAAATATATAATTAACGAAATTAATTTACAAATTATGTAATTTTTTTTTACTTTTACGTAGTCTTTTATTTTTGATAAACAATAAAGATAATTAATGTATAAGAAAAAAGTTAAAAATACTAGCAATACAATAAGAGATCGGAGAAAATCTTTATCACCAATTGTGTTGAATTTTTCCGTATCAGCAATTAAGCAATAAAGACCAGCTCTGTTTTATGTTTGTGGATATTTTTCGATTCGGGTATCGTTGTTTGCAATTGCAGTTGTTACGTACCGTGAATTCTTCATACATCGATTTATCAAACGCGTATCCACTTTTATAGCTGCTGAATTATTCCCGGCGGCGTTGAATATTTATTTTACATTTAGAGAGGTGTCATTGTGATTCGGCGCACGACTGAAAATTGAACCCCGTTAAAAAAAGAGAGAGTGAGAGAGAGAGAAAGAGAGAGAAAGAGAGTAAAATTCCCGATCGCTGTTATAAATGTATAATGAAAAGGACGCGTAATGCACACGTCGCGTCCGTCGCGTCGCATCGCATCGTGTGTCGGACTTGAAAAAAAAAAAAAAAAAAAAAAAATAACAATCGGTGTCCATCGCCAAGAGCAACTGGTCGCGCAAATGCGAGAACATCGGTCGGCGTCAATTATTCAGGTAATTCGCTGAACATTGGCGGTCCAATGACTGGCGGCCGAATTTCTTTTTGTCACTCGATAGCGCGTTTCCACGTGTTTTCTCGCCGTATCGACGCGACGCGGTACACTCGTATATTTACGAGATGTCCGAATATTTTGTGGAAAACGCAATTAGCGTCCTGTGCGTTACCATTGTTTCAAATCAGCTCCCGTGTGCTTTTTTTACCGTGTCTCTTGATTAGCCTTTATTTAACGCCGATGTAGCGCAATTTTCACTTTTAATAATGAGTGATAAAACGAGATTTTTTTCTATTGATATTGATTACACTTGATGTTTTATGACATGTGCATTAAATATACTTTATGACGATGAATCAAAGTTTATGCAAAATTGATATTAAAATAAGCGTTTATTATAAAAATTTTAAATAGTTCATCTTTTTATAGAATCTTAATTTTTTTAAAGATCTTTTCTCTGGAAAGATGCAGCATAATTTTAAGCTCGTTATCTTCAAAAAAGGTTTGACATCCTTCACACGTAGAATTAAATATGCATTCGAAGATCCACTAAGAGATCTGGGAAAATCTGGATTGTATAGAAAATATAGTAAGACACATTTTCC